ATTCAAAATGCAGCCCTTCAGTTGACTGGACTGGTCAGTGAAACCTCAGGTCCACCAGTCAACTGCCAATCACTGACTTTAAAATCCTGGAGATTAAAATCGAGGTTCTCTTTATTCACTTGACCTCAGGCTAAAACACAACGACAAGGACTTTTCTAGGACGTGGTCACAACTAGAAAGCATCCAGAAGTCACACTTAAAATATTAGGGAATTTCCAAACCCTAAAGACTTAGGTAGACATTTTCTATTTTTCTTATTTTTTTTTATTATTTTTTTTGTCAGTGACTTGAAACCCAGGCACTCCAGTTAATTATTATTATTATTATTATTATTATTATTATTATTGTATAGACTAAAAACCCCAACTGATTGAATTAAAATTTAATAAAATTCAAAATTTATATCCTGGACTATTTTTGTCTTGGTTGGACTTAGTTTCTTCAACTTGGACTTGGACTCAGCCTGATCCTCCCTGTGGTGTAGGACTGGAACATTGCAGGTTATTAACACACACGACTTGACAGGAAGAGTCAGGGACTGTACAGACACACCCACCTGTTTTATGTGCATCTCTGAGCAACTGTGTACGCGACAGTGAGGTCAAAGAAAATCTTGACAACTGTGGCTTTTGTTTAGAATTCCTGCAACGAGTTCTACCTGTTCCAGACGTAGCAGCCAAACAGGAAACTTCAGTGACTTCTCTTAACTCAACAGAAGTCTCATTTCAAAGTGTTTGAAAAAAGGGGATTTGAAACCATTAGACATTGCAGCAGACAAACGTGTGTAAACAATGATCAGTGTTCTGTTTATAGAGACCTGAGCCAAATGTGGTGTGATGTAATAAAGACTCACTAACTTTTATCAGGCTTTTCTACCAACAACACTGAGACAAAACTGTCCCACAACACAAAACACAAGTCCTTTTGAAACGCAACCATAGAAACCAATTTTATTGTGTTGTTAACAGAGCTTTTAGGGATGGCATATTCGTAAAAATACCAGAAGACCAGTTGTGTGTGTGTGTGTGTGTGTGTGTGTGTGCATGAATACACCTGGTGTTACTATACTTGTGGGACTCTTTCAGGTCTTTACTGAGTGTGTGTCTGAGTGTTTTTGTTTTGTTGTTGTTGTTTTTTTTTGGGGGGGGGTTGTTGTTTTTTTTTTTGAGGTTCGAGATTTTAGTTTGGAGTAAGGATTAGAATAAGTGTTAGATTACAGTCAGGCCCAGGTTAAGGATTAAGGTTAGACTAAAAGTCTTATATCAATGGCTGGTGCCTTTAAAACACAAAAATCTGTTGTGTGCAGTGTTTCGTGCAGTTCATTCACCTGAACTATTAAATAATTTTCACATAAACTATTTAATAGTTCATGTGACTGTAGCATAAAAGTGATAGATAACATGAACGACCCAACTGCTAACTAGAGAGTAAACAAAAGGACAAGAATCCAGCATGAAGACAGCCTGTGCAGTATGTTGTTGTTGTCTGTCCTTAGGTATTCTTTGAATGCTCTGTCCTAGTTTTGTCTTACAGCTACAGTCGTCTATAAATGTTTCATCGAAGAAATAATTGATGCAGCCAACACTGTCTGACGGAGGTGTACAGCACCAACAGATAGGGACGAGCAGAGTCAGGTGGACGGCTGTAATCAGAGACCCCGCCGTCCAGCAGCGTTAAATTACCGTCAACCGCTTCAAGGAGAATAGTCACTTTTACTGAAGTTGATTTTTGGTGTAGCCAATTGTCCTTGTACCACAGGATGTTACTGTCTAAGGATAAACATATTGTACCTGATGTCTGTGTTCCTTGGATCAGAGAAACATTCTTTCTCTCTTACCTCACCTCCTCAGACCTGAACACTCCTTGTTTCGTTGTGCCGTGGAACAGCTTCAGCCATGCTGCTGTGCCTGTCCTACAGGTTACACGCTGCTGTAGACTCCTCAGCTTTTCAGCTCTTGCTAATTTCATCGTCGTTATTCGATGACTCAAAAAACGAAAAAATAAAAATAGCAGCGTTGGTCCAAAGTCTGGTCCAGGGCCCAGGCATGGGACATTTCTATTATTCATTATTATAGAATAGTTCTATGCTAACTTTTATTTATTATATTTTCAATCATTTTTGCATCATTTGTCTGGGTTAGCTTAATGTAATATTTGCTATTTTTGACTACATTTCCCTTGCATTGGGTCTCTTCTTGCTAATCTGCAGCTATTGATGCAGAAAACAGAAATCTAAATCATTTTTTTAATATTTAGATATTTTTTATTAGGTCATGAACTGAAACTGAACATTTTTTTATAGAAAATTAATTAAGTAAATAAAAGCAGTTGTCAGACATGAAAATGAATTCAGGCAGATTTTCATCACCTCACAAGACTCGAGAGAGAGATTATTAAAAATGTAGACTTTAATATATATTTATTTATTTCTGACATTCTGATCAGGATTGCAGGTTGGCTTCACACACACTGTGTTCCACTTGATATGCTAAGCAGAAGGGGCAGTGGGCTGAGGAGGGGGGGTGAGGGGTCATGGAAGGCTCGACAAGCAGCAGGTCCTGTTTGTACACTAGTAATGAGAACAGGAGGCAGTGCATCCACAGGCTTCGTCCACTTCTCTTCAGTATTGCTGGAAACCCCAGAGACGACTGTTTTGTTATTCCCCTTCAGTCCTTCAGTGAATTCCCTACAACCTCTGACAGTCCCTGAAAGGACAGCGACTGACACGGAAACCTAGGTTAAAAGACTTCCTCTAAGATCATGCAGGAGACTTTTTCAGATTCTTTTATTTTAAAATTTTATTAATAACCTTAAAATAAACTCCACAAAATGTAAACAAATTGAGTTTTTCCACTTAGGCCTACGTGACTTCACATACTGGATTAAATTATGTCTTAACTAACTGTGTGCAAAAAGTGGCTCCCGAGAATATGTTGGTGTGAGTTTGTATGACAGTGGATATAAAGAGTTCACACACCTCTGTGAAAAGGGATTTTTTTTCACATTGAAACATAAATCAAGAGGAGAACCTTTCATCTCTTTAGTTTTTAAGATATCAACAATCACTACTCACATTAGAAACAGTGCCTTAAACCTCAAATACTAGCCAGCACACTATCACTACCATCTAACAGAGAGATGCCGACCACATAACACTACATGAGTTCAGCTATTGCAGTAGGATTTAATGGTTGTTTGCCTGTGAAGAGCCTGAAAACAGAACTAGACTTGTCGTCTTTTAATGGTATCACTCACTACAGAATGAACTAAAAATACTTTCAAAATATATGGAATGTTTTCCATAATTGAAAAAAGATAAACAGAAGACTTGTCTTGTTATCGAACGTTTGCCGGTTCAAATCCCAGCTCTAGCAGAACTGTGGTGAGTTGAGCAACACCAAAAAACGGTTGAATGTAGTGAGCAATTTTCCTACTGACGGAGTAAAGTTACAAAATATCAGTTACATTTTTAATTGCCTGTGACTAGAGGAAAGAGCAGCTATTTTTAAACAGTAGAAAACATGTAAGCACAGCTGAATATGATCAGTTCATAGTCAACGATGTCAGTCAGTTTGGCAGAAACACAACACTGCAAAACACTTGAAGAACATCATGAACGAAGCAGCGTCATGCTTTAGTGAGTTATTCTCCTGGTTAAAAAAAAAAGTCTTTTATGCTGAAAATCTCTGGATATTAACCAGGGGTGTACAAAGTTTTATATCCACTGCACCGGCCGAGAGAGAAAAAAATGTGAAGTGATGAGCAGAGTTTCCAGGGAGGATTGTTTTTGAACGTCAACAGCATAAACATCACACCTAAGATGACTGTGAGTGCATGCCTTAAGGTGGCTCTAAGATAAGATCCAGTCATGATGCACGAAAGCGTTACAGTGACACTGCCCCGTACATGCCGACGGGCTTCAATGGACCCTCATCCAAAAATATTAACTCTCATGGGTTCAATGTCAGAAAAGTAGACCATTAATATAAATACATTTCTGACTCCTGTACAGACGATAAATCCTCTATAGTTTACATTGTTGTTATGACTGCAGCTCCAAAATAACAACCAACGCCACTGTCACCAAAATCTTTATGAGCGGACGTCACTGTGAGTACACACACTGATGCACACCATGGATCACTGCAGGAGCAAATGAAATCCAATAATAAGATCATTCACAACTGAATTAAGCAAAAAATAATTTTCCTTTTTTTTTCTTCTTTTTTTCAGTGTTATTAATGGCTTTTTTCAGAGGAATTATGGGAAGTGAGTTTGACCACCTCTGGACCGAGGTGGATCAGTGAACACTGTAATTGCACTTAAATGATTCTCCTACACACTGACATTCTGTGAGATATTTAAGATTTAATTGACAGTTATCCATAATCTGCAGCGAGGACGTATGCAAATTCCGTCCAAAATAGGTTTTGAATTTGCCTTCAAATTTGTCCTGGACTGTTAGGACATCACTTTGTCTCTCTGTGAAGTGACTGACACTGGTCTGACATCATGACTACAATCATCACTGCAGAAAGACTGACAGATTGGTGTTTGTGGCAGAACGCGGTTCCAGCGTCACTCCTTGGTGTCACTGTGGTAAAAGCATGACCTGAATCTACAGAACTGCAGTACTGCTGTTTATGTGCAGGGACAAAAATAACACCGATCTTTTAATCATTACACCAGATAAATATCAGCACATATATTATGGTGTCATATATATGTACAGTTTGGATACAGTTGAGGACAAAATGGGAACCCCGTAAAATGATAGATTTTTCAAGTAAAATCTTTTAAAATTATGAACTTTTCTTGTCTTTTCACTTTGAGGATGGTGTTCTTTGGAGGTGTACTCCTCTCCTCTCATTTCCTAAACAGGGTCAAAGGTCACTTTGAGACGTTTCCTCTCAGTTGACCCAGTTGTATATATCCAGTGCAAGGTGGGAGGTTGTGTCATCACAGCTCCCTCACCATCCATTCATTCCCAGGTCTATAATTATTATTCTGCTCCTGTAGTGTTTCCAACTCTGCCCAGAAGATTTAACCAAAGATAAACAAAAAAAAAATTACAAGTAAATAATGTCTAGTTTTTTTTAACCTCCTTCAAATTTATTACTTCATTAAAACACTTTAAAAGTTTGTGCTTTGGCTCAACAAACAGGTCTGACGTCGAAGTTCTTGTAATTCTGACCTTTCTGCAATAATTAAAATAAATAAATAAAAACGATTTGATTCAATGATGCTTCAGCAAAAGAAACAAACATTTTAACCATATGATCCATTTCCTGTGGGGCCGATGGTTTTGTCCTCAACAGTACAGTTACATATACTTTCACTTTTCATCTCATATATTTATATACATCTACATCAGTCTGTTAGTGTCTTGTGGGCGGTGTGGGCGGGGGGGGGGGGTCAAAGGACACTGAACCTGAAGCACTTGTAACTAGATTAGGAGTTAGAACCATGTGAACCATATAAAGGCAGTGTAGTCACCCATCCATTATGATCACTATCACACTGTAACACCACCTCTTCACACAGCGTGTTCACCCGTGCCTGGGGTACGTGGGTACGAATCAACCAGTAGATCACACCCATATTAGTCCTGCCCCTCTTTGCCTGATTTGCATCTACCTGGTGGGGGAGATCACCCACCCACGCCCACTGTGGAATTCCAGCTACAACATTCACACCATTAAACACACTGCCACTCTTAGGCCTTTGATACGAAGCAGTCACATTGGCGTCTCATGCAAAAAAACAAAAACAACAACAACACATTGGTGCTTTTGTCTTCACCGATAAACAGAGGCAAGCTTCGGAACTTGAATTGACTGTACAATAACATTCTTCTCATACTGTGCTGGTAAAAAGTGAGCTTAAAGTGAATGCAATTTTTCCCCCTATTTTCCAGGTAAATGTCGCTCTTCAAACAGGGGGAGGAAATCAAAAATGGAGATGGGAATTAAAATGCATTAACTGGTCCGTCGGCCGTGTTCCTGATGTGCACCAAAGCTTGAATACCCTGTGAGCAATAGAACCAGACTTCTCTCACTCTGTCTCTCTGTTTCACCCTGAGGATGTGCAATTGCTCCGTGCGATGTCAGGCTTTGGGTTTCCCCTGCGCAAACGATGTCCAAGTCACTAATATCATATTGCAATCTGATTGCATGTTGGATAAATAAGGCAAAAAAAGAGAGAAAAAAAACCATCAAACAAGTGAAGCAAAAAAAAAAATCTGACATTTTTTAAAAAACATAATATTCATCTATGGTCGTCTTTTACCGAAAGGCAACTGTTCCTCCACTATAGCATTTTGGTTGTTTTCATTTTATCTTATTTTAGTTGTGATTACATTGACTGTTTTTTAGCGAGCCACTGTGACAGATGTGATTCTCTGCGGCCCGTAGCAGCAGTGAGGGAGGGTTTGAGCTCTATAGACTTTCAGGTGGGCATCAGTAAGGTTAGATTTCCCATCAGGCCTTTGGCGGTGACAGTAACAAGTATGGGTGGGGGTGCGTGCTGGTTAGCAGTGGTGTCTTAGGCTCATAGGTCATAGAGTGGTGCTCTGTGGCTCCTCCTCACACACATCGTCTCCGTCTGGAGAGTCTGTCACTGCCAGGGACTTCCTGCAGGGGGCACCAGCGCTGAACTCATCGATGAGGCTGTCCAGATTGACATTGATGGAGGGGATTTCATAATTGAAGATATCTAATGGTGAGCATGGGCAGGGAGAGGGTGAGTGATGGTGAGCAGAGAGGTGAGAAACGGTGATGTGAGCCAGAGGAGGAGGAGGAGGAGAAGGAGAGAGCAATGGGTGATGAGCATGAGGTGTAAAAAAATGGAAGAGAGCAGAAATAATATTAATCTTTCTGATTCTGAACTCAAGGCAAGAAAGAGGTGTGTGTGTGTGTGTGTGTGTGACGTCAGCCCTGATTTGAGAAAAGGAAATCAGTAGATCACATGTGTTTCACATTCTGCACAGGAATCATTTTGTTTTTTCATTGTGTTGCAAGTCGGACCACAGCAAACTCGGTGGTGAGTCGTCTGGGAGGTCACAGCTTTGGGTGCCCATAGAGACAACAATACCACACAGATGAGGACAAAATTATTGTCTCCCACTGAGAAGTGTTATGTCCCTGCAAGTATTTCCCAAGTGATTCTATACAGCGTTAGGAATTGTTATGGGAAAACACTCCTTTTTTTAAATTACAGTTTTCTCTGAGTTGAAGGAATAAAGTTGTCTGTGTTACATTGTTAAAGGTCTATTCTAATAAGTTCTAATATATATGATTAGTTCCTGGTGATGTCATCAACATCGACCGTGATCCAAAGATTGTTTTTTGTGTTTGTATAGACCAGTCAGTAACAGTCACTTTGGCCCTATGGAGATAGTACTGGACCAAGGATAGGATAAGTTTTACTGTAGTTAAAAAATACTTTTAATTATGTTACTGATTTTTTTTTCTTTTAACAATCTTTTCACACTTTTTTGGCAGATTGAGTCAGGGTCAGATTTACATTTTTGGGCAGAACAGCCGTCCAGTGTTAGTCAGAGAGTTGTCCAATGCTGTTTTGAGTTCATGTCGCTCGGCGCCTCTCTAAGATCACACCGCCAAGTCCATTTACCGCCTACTTAACTGCTTTGTGTGTGCTTTCATGTGTTCGTGTTCAATTTAAGTAATCATCCCATCCTGGGATTTAGCTACTACATGGTATTGAACCCGGAACCTTCTGGTTGCTAATGGAGCCTCAACACTGCACCAGTCTCTCCCCTGGACAGATATCTGAACGCTACACTTCTTGAATGTTTCTGTATGCAGTGTAAAATGCAGTAACTCCTTCTTACCAACGTCAATATGTTTCCAACAACAGTGTAAAAATATCATGTCTGATATAAAAGCACTTGGGAATCCTCCAGGAGAGTTCGATTCCCGTGGGGCTAATAGTTTTGTCCTCAACTATATTTGTCAGATAAAGAACAAGGACAGGTCAAAAATGACTGCACAACGACACAGTACTGTACAACAACGGCCAGATAAACCAACACAGAGGCAACAGGATGTGTGTGAAACTCTGTGGGAGAGGAGACACCGGGTGGCGTTGGAGTAACGTCTCCATCTAATGTGCTGCAGTAACTGGGCGCAGCAGGACCAGGCAGAGGCTGGAGACTGCTCCTGTGTAGGAATGAGATGGAGCGTGGCAGTGTTGGAAAAAAGGACCAAGGGTTAAAAGAAGCAATGAACCCCCCCGGAGGAGGACTGGGGTTACCTGTGCCCTCCCCTCCACTCTCACCA